TGTGGACTTGTGTGCATGCTATGATGGTGTTGAGCTACTAGACGTGGTCACTGTTTTCAATAGGTTACAACAATGGGTCGACGTAACAAGTGACCAAAAGCATTTTGAGGATTTACGCTACCGAGTCCAAGTAGTCATGCCCCATTTTGATGAACTCTATTTTATAACCTATTTCGTGGGGGCCCTCAAAGAGGAGATTGGCCAATTGGTGAAGGTCACAAATCCACACACTTTGTTAGTTGCTTGCAACATGGCAAAATTCTATGAGCAGTCCTTAAAAGCCCAAGCAAATATTTCCTCTACCAAATTTTCCAAGCCACCCACATGCAATCCCTCCTATAAAACCCCATCCCAAACCCCATTTCCAATAACCAAAGGCCCAAACCCCGCATTACCTAACAAACCTATAGCCCAAAAGGTCCCAAACCTCCAAATACTCCGTAAGCAGAATTTATGCTACAAGTGCCACGGCAAATATTTTCCGGGGCATCAGTGAAATAAAATGTACTAAATACTTTGGAAGGGAAGGAGGAGAAAGTAGTGGGAGAGGAGGAAGAACCATGAGAGGTGATTGAAAAGGTGGAATAGGAGAGGTGATTGAAAAGGTGGAAGAAGTGGACCAGGCTGAAATTTCTTTAAATGTATTATTGGGCCTTAATCATACTCCTTCCACAATAAGAATCAGAGGATGGGTCAAGAAACACCCCATTAAAGTCTTTGATCGATAGTGGGTCTACGCATAGTTTTGTAGACCTAGATATTGTGAAGAAACTAATGGAGAACAGATCCCATGACTAAGCCCATGAAGGTACGGGTAGCTAATGGACAAATTATGATTTGCACCCAATTGTGCCCCATTTTCAAATGGAAAATGAATGAGGAAGTGTTCTCCTGTGATTTGAGACTCTTAAAGGCTGGAAGAGCGAATATTATATTGGGCATGGATTGGGTAGATACAATGGCCCCAATAGTTTTACACACTAGACCGCACAATATTTCTTTTTTCATAGAAGACAAAATCATTACCTTGATAGGTTGTGATAACTCTGGGCCTAGTGAATCTTGTGATGAAAAGGTTATTTAGAAGTTGTTAAGGATGGGCCAATGCATTATTTCAGCCCAACTAACAAAAATGGAAGCCTTGCCTAACAATGTTGGGCCACCAGAACCGGTCTAATGCCTATTGTCTAGATTTGACGACATTTTCCAAGAGCCCAAAGGCCTTCCTCCAAACAGGACATGTGATCATGCAATAGAGTTGTTACCAAGATCTAAGCCTTTTAACATTCACCGTTACAGATACTCTTTTGAACAGAAAAACACCATATAAAAAATGGTGAGGAGATGATGGAAGCTCAAACCATTTCACCTAGCACGTCTTCCTTTGAATCCCCAGTCATATTGGTTACGAAGAAGGATGCTACGCGAAGATTTTGTGTGTATTATCATAGGTTGAACGACATTACGATAAAAAACAAGTATCTCATTCCAGTTGTGGAAGATCTTTTGGATGAGCTCAATGAGGCTGAAATATTCTCCAAATTGGACCTGAGGTCGGGCTACCACCAAATAATAATGAGGCCAGAGGATGAGTTTAAAACTGCATTTCGAACTCATATGGACTTTGAGAATTCAAAGTAATGCCCTTTGGGCTTACCAACGCCCCTGCCACCTTCCAAGCCCTGATGCATGAAGTTTTTAGCCCTTACTTGCATAGATTTGTCCTGATCTTCTTCGACGACATCCTGATTTATAGTGTTAATTTGAATGATCATGTCTAGAATTTAGAATTGGTTTTTAAGGTTTTGAAGGCCAATCATTTGTTTGCCAAATTATCTAAATGCAGCTTTGTCGAGGCCCAAGTTGAGTATTTATGGCACATTATATCAGGGCATGGAGTAAGTACTGACCCAACGAAAATTGAGGCACAATCAAAGAGTTGCGTGGGTTTTTAGGAATCACATGATACTACAAGAGTTTCATTAAGGGATTTGCTAGCATTAGCAAACCACTGACTGAACTATCAAAAAATGGGGCATTCAATTGGAATGAAAAGGTTGCGGTGGCTTTCGATGAACTTAAAAATGCCATGATCCGAGCCCAGTATTAGCCTTACCTGACTTCTCGATACCTTTTATAGTAGAGGTGGATACGAGTGGTACGGGCGTGGGGGATGTTCTAATGCAAAAGAACAGGTAATTGCCTTCATGAGTCAAGGTCTTAGCCCAAAACATTTGAGTCTCTCTACAAATGAGAAAGAATTAATTGTCTTATTGCTAGTAGTAGAAAAATGGAGGAACTATCTTCAACACAACCATTTCATCATTCGTACTGACCATTTCATCCTCAAATTCTTGAGAGACCAAAGAATCACCACAGCTTTTCAACACAAGGGAGTCACAGTTAATGGGGCTGAGTTACGAAATACAGTACCGGAAAGGGGTAGATAATGTAGTTGCTGATGCTTTGTCTCGCAGGTTTAAGTCCAATGAAGAGTGTGATGACTTACAGTTGTGCAACCAAGATGGACCACTGAAGTAATGGAGAGTTATGAGGGTGACCCTGAGGCTCAACACATCCAAACACAACTAGCAGTTGATAGCAATGCCCTACCCAACACTACCTTACAAAATGGATTGATCAGAATATATAGCAAGATATATGGGGAATAAGGGTCAATAACGAGAAAAGCTTATCGAACAAATACATTCCACCCCTTGGGGAGGACACTTAGGAATTTTGAGCACCTAACAGAGGTTAAGGGCCTTGTTCTTTTGGACAGGGCTACTGACTGAAGTAAAAGAGAAGGTCAAGAGTTTCGAGGTTTTTCAACGAAATAAGGCAGAACACGTTCCTTATCCCGGACTTTCGCAACCTCTTCCAATTCCTTCAAGAGCTTGGGAACACCTAACCATGGATTTCATCGAAGGACTACCAATGTCATTTGGGAAGGATACTATTATTGTAATCATTGACAAATACACCAAGTATGCTCACCTATTCACATTGAATCATCCTTACAACACAACCCAAGTAGCTAAGTTATTTTTGGATCACATTTGCAAGCTTCATGGTGTCCCAAGTTCAATTCTGTCAGATCGTGATCCTATCTTCACAAGTTTGTTCTGGAAAGAGCTATTTAAAGGCTTGCACGTTGAACAAAGGCTCACCATGGCGTATCATCTACAATCTGACGAGCAGTCAGAGAGACTAAATCAATGTATGCTTACTTGCGTTTTATGACCGGACATAGACCTAAAGAATGGAGCAAGTGGAGTTTACACGCTGAGTTTTGGTATAATACCAATTACCAGTCAGCTATTGGTATGACTTATTTCAAAGCATTGTACGGCTATGACCCACCCTTGCCGTACTTTGAGCTAATTTCTCAGTCAAAATTGGACTCAGTCGATCAGCTGTTGAAGGAAAGGAAAGTCATTTACAAAAGCTTGAAAGAAAATTTGACCAAGGCGCAGAACCAGATGAAACAGTACACAGACTCCAAAAGAAGTGAGAGAGAATTTGTGGTGGGAGACATGGTCTTCCTGAAATTGCAACCATACCATCAAACTTCAGTAGCAATGAGGAGGAATCTGAAATTGGCAGCCAAATTATATGGTCCTTATGAAGTAATTCGTAAATTGGGCCCGATGGCTTACGAGTTGAAATTACTGACAAGCTCGAAGATTCACCCAATATTTCATGTGTCTCAATTGAAGGAGAAGATTGGGACAGAATAATTCCCTCCTAAGAACCTCCATTTTGCTCTAATGATGGTCAAATCCCTACTGAACCAGTTGAAATTCTGGACAGGAAAATGGTCAAAAAAGGAAACAAACTAGTGGTACAGGTGCGAGTTCAATGGGCAAACCTCTCAAGAGAAGAAGCGACATGGAAAGATTATGCATTTTTGAAGTCTCAATTTCCTGAGTTTGATCCTTGACAGAAGAAAAAGAGCCCTATTTGAAAGGAGGATGGGATGTCACGATTTTAATCGTGACATTGGGTCAGCTATATTGCTTTGATATGGACCGAGTATCAGCCTATTATAAGGCCCAATGTCAATCGCAGTATTGAGCCCATTATTAGTTCGCCCTTTGTCTTGTTGGTCTTTATTCCCTAAACGGCTATAAGCCCCAATTAAGGACGAGTGTCCAATTATAGTACTAGTTAGTTAGGGAGACAGCTATAGCTAGCTGAATATCCTATATTTAACTTACTTTGTATTCCAAAGGAATATATCTATAAATTAAAAAATTGCTTAGTTTTCTTTCTTTCTTTTTATTATCTTTCGTTTCTTTCTCCCAACAATCCAAATCTGTAGCACAGGTGCTACAAATATTGAATTCTAATGGAGCCATTTATATGAGAACTATAGACACACTCGATCTCGCTTAGGCAAAAACTTTTAAGAATTTAAAGGGTTGTTAGGATCTCATAGACAATCAAATATCAGGACGTACTTTCATTTGTTGGAATAAATCGATCTGAGCTTCCATTTTCTCAGAAAAGAAATGATGAAGAAGAAGAACGACCAAGGCTGAAGCTCAAAGATAAGGAAATAGCGGACAAAACAAAGTTAGGACTTGGTCTTAATTTTGGTTCAGATAAGCCACATGGGAAACAACGTGGCTTCATCTCACCTGTTGAATATTACAATGATAGATCTAATCTGGACCCTTCAAAGCACTCTCATATTCAAGATGATTCTCACATGCACACAAGTTGTCACATGCAGAAGGAATAATTAGGTAGTTATATTGTTAGACTTAGACTAGTAGAAATAAGACAAGTGTACAAAATTAATAGGCTATTCTTTTATTCCTTATTTTCTTTTCTAGTGATACATTTGTATAAATACATAGTCCTTTGTACAGCATATTCATTCAGAAATACAGAAAATTTCTAAAACTCTCCTCTCAATTTTCTATATGGTATTAAAGCATTAGATCTTCTTCTTCTTCTTCTTCTTTCAATTTTTTTGATTCTCTGATTCAATCATGTCTCCTGCTTCCGACATTACTGAAACTCCACTCGCCCATAGCTCATCTTCAACAACATCAGGCAATGGAAATATTATTGATTTCACTCATCCCTACTTTCTTCATGCTTCTGATGCACTAGGTATGATACTGGTGAACACACCATTTGATGGTCATGGATATGCTGGATGGAGCAGATCCATCTTAATCTCCCTTTCAGCCAAGAACAAATTGGGTTTCATTGATGGTTAATGCCCTATGCCATCTCCTGCAGACCCTATTCATTCAACTTGGAGTGGATGCAACCACATGGTGACCTCTTGGTTGTTGAATTCTCTCACTAAGGTCATTGCTGACAGCGTTCTTTACTAAAAAACTGCTAAGGATCTTTGGTCAGGTCTGGAGCATAGGTTTGGGCAACCTAATAGAGCCAAGTTATACCACTTACAAAAAGAACTAGCTGATTTAGTTCAAGGGTTAGCTGATATTGCTACTTATTTCACTAGAATGAAGCGACTATGGGATGAATTATACAGTCTCAACACTGATATGCACTGGTCATGTAATTGTGATTGTGGTGGAAAGAAGAAAATGCAACATTTTAAGGAAGATGAGAGACTCATTCAATTCCTCATGGGATTGAATAAGACTTATGGACTGGCTAGAAGCAATATACTCATCGTTAAACCACTATCCTTAGCCAATCAAGCATACTCACTTCTTATGCAAGATGAGAATCAAAGGGAGATCCATGTCAATTGTCAATTACCAACAGATGGTGCTTCATTCATGGTGAGAAACCAAGGATCTCAGAATTATCAGAATTTTGTAGGATCTCACTTCAACTCTCAACAGAAAAGTGGAAACAATTCCTATAAAGGAAATCATGGACATAAAGGAAAGAAAAACACACAAATGTGTTCCTACTGTAAGATGACTAATCACACAATTGACAAATGTTACAGACTTGTGGGATTCCCTGGTGACTTCAAATTTACTAAAAACAAAAGGGTTCAAAATTCACCAAAGGGTAACTCAGCTGCTACAGTGGAAGATACAGGGGTAATTCACAGCAGCATGGCAGAAGGACCTCAGTTTTCTCATAAACTAATATCAGATCAATTCAATCAATTGGTTAATCTTCTGAATCAAATACAAACAGGACAGGGAACTACTCAGGAAGTTAATGCAAATTCTGTTGTTGGTATATTGTTTACTAATTCTCCATCATGTTATTCAGTTACTAATTCTAAACTTGCCAACTCATGGATCATAGATTCAGGGGCAACTGAGCATATGTATTTTAATGCCAAATCATTCTTATTCTTAGTACTATTACCTACTCCTCTAATGGTAAAATTGCCTAACTCTTCTAGGGTAAATGTCACTCAAGCTGAAGTATTTCTATTTTTCCAGGTTTAGTTTTGGAAAATGTTCTTCACATTTCTAGTTTCAAATATAACTTACTCTCAGTTTGTAGGCTTTGTCAAAGATTCAGATGTCTCTTAGTTTTTACTTCTTTTGGATGTACTTTGCAGGGCCCTCTCTAGAAGAGCCCTCAAGTTTTTGGTGAAGCTAAGGAGGGACTTTACTTATTGGAGCCTAGTATGACAGAGCCTAGGATTTTACATTCCACAACTATCACATCTTTGTTGCCTGAATCTTTTTCTAATTCAGTTTCAGCTTCTTTTCCTTTTTCTATCTTAGCTAAAATAGAATCTGATGTAAAATTATGGCATGTAAGGTTGGGGCATTTGCCTTTCAATTCAATGAAATATATCAGTTCCATTTCATTTGTTCCTAATTCTGTGTGTAATTGTGATGTATGTCCACTAGCAAGATAGTCTAGATTACCATTTCCACTCAGTCAAATCAAAACTAAGCAAGTTTTTGACTTAATTCATATTGGCACATGGGGACCTTATAAGACTCCTACTTACAATGAATATAAATATTTTCTCATTATTGTGGATGATTTCAGTCGAGCAACTTGGACTTATCTATTGAGTAACAAGGGTAATGCATTCTCAGTTTTGAAGTATTTTTTTAGCATGGTGAAAAGTCAATTTAATGCTAAAGTAATGGTCATCAGGTCAGATAATGCTTTAGAGAGAAGCACTGCATCTTCCTTGTTTCTACAATCACAAGGTATTTTGCATTAGACTTCATGTGTGGGAACTCCTCAACAAAATGGGATTGTGGAAAGGAAGCATAGACATTTGCTAGAAATTGCTAGAGTACTTCTATTTCAGTCCAAGGTGCCTCTATATTACTGGGGAGAATGCATTCTAACAACTACATTTCTGATCAAAAGATTTCCATCTAGAGTGCTTAAAGGCCAAACTCCCTATCAATTGTTATTTGGTAAGGCACCTTCTTATTCTTTCTTAAGAAGTTTTGGTTGTCTCTGCTATGCCTCTACCTTGTCACACAACTGAGGGAAATTTGACCCCAGGGCCACATCATGTGTTTTTATGGGCTATCCCATAGGTCAGAAGGGATATAAGCTACCAAATCTAGCAATTAAGAAATTCTTTGTCTCTAGGGATGTTCATTTTCTTGAACACATTTTTTTTTTGCCCATATAACTTCAGATCACTCCACTACTATACATCCTAGTCCTACATTCCCTATACCTCCCTTCACCACTGATACACCCACACAACAAACCTCAACTGCACCACATGTTTCTCCCATACCTGATCACTCACCTAGTTTCTCCCATCACCAGTCTATTTCTTCTCCTATTCCTTTTATCTCTCCTGTCTCTTCTTCCCTTCCAGTTCCTCTTAGAAGATCCAGCAGAGATAATATAGGTACTTTACCTAGTTATCTTAAAGATTATGTTTGTAACAACATCTTTCTCACTGATGTCACCACCTCCTGTCTCACCTCTCCTTGATCCCCATCTCCATTCTCTTTCTCTGCTCTTACTAGTCCTAACCAACATCTCCTTCAATCGGCCTCTACTATTTCAGAACCTACAAGCTACTCTCAGGATTGTGCCAACCCTGGTTGGATCCAAGCTATGGACTCTGAACTTAAGGCATTAGAAGAGAATCATACCCGAGATGTGGTTTTACTACCTACTGGAAAGAAAGCACTACCCTGTAAATGGGCTTACAAGATCAAACACCATGTTGATGGCACTATTGAGATGCTCAAGGCACGATTGGTTATAAGGGGTGATGTTCAGAGAGAAGATATTGATTACTCAGAAACCTTCTCTCCAATTGTCAAAATAACAACAATCATGTGCTTACTTTCTATTGCAGTCAAGAAATGTTGGTCTATCTCTCAATTTGATGTAAGTAATGCCTTTTTACATGGAGCTGCAAGAAGAGGTTTATATGAAGTTTCCTGCTGGTTTACCCTCACCAAGCGCCAACCATGTTTGTTGACTTAACAAGTCTCTTTATGGATTGAAACAAGCCTCAAGGCAGTGGTATGCCAGGCTTGCTGGAGCCCTAAGTTTCAAGGGTTTTTCATCTTCTCTAAATGACCATTCTATGTTCTTTAAGAGAACATGACATCTTATTTTTATTGTTGTTGTGTACGTAGATGACATTCTACTTACAGGAGATGACATTGATGAATTGACAGATCTCAAAGCATTCTTACATTCTGAGTTTAAAATGAAGGATCTTGGGCCACTTCATTATTTTTTAGGCATGGAAGTTTTAAGGGAACAACAAGGACTGATTGTTACTCAAAGGAAATTTACCATTGACCTGCTCAACGAGTTCGATTGCTTCAATCTCGCATTGGTTTCTTCACCCCTGGGTCCATCTTTCAAATTAGTTGCTGATTCTGGGCCTCCATTAACTGATGCTTCTCTTTATCAACGATTAGTGGGCAAGCTCAATTATTTAACTCACACGCGCCCAGATCTCTCCTTTGCAGTTCTCACTCTCAGCCAATTCATGCAACGCCCTTGCGTTGGGCATTTCACAGCTGCGTTGCGTGTCCTTCGTTATCTTCGATCCAGCCCGGGTCAAGGATTATTTCTCAATGCTCAACCCTCTTTTGATCTTTTGGCTTTCTGCGATGCAGATTGGGCTTCTTGCCGTGACAGTCGCCATTCTGTCAGTGGTTTTTTTATCACTTTGGGTGGCTCATCGGTGTCGTGGAAATCCTAGAAACAAGCTTCCGTCTCTATAGCAGAAGCAGAATATCGTTCAATGCGTCGCCTAGTTGCAGAACTCACATGGTTGACTCGTTTGCTCACAGATCTATCAGTTCCTCCTCCGATTCCGGTTCCCATTTTCTCCGACAGTCAAGTTTCCATCCACATCGACCGGAATCCCCGGGTTTCACGAAAGGACTAAATACGTCGAACTCGATTGCCACTTTGTGAGGCAACAATTTCTCTCAAGCCTCATTTCTCCCCTCAAAATTGCAACTTGCTGGTTTATTCACCAAACCCTTATCGGGGCCTTCTAACATATTGATTCTTGGCAAGTTGGGTGTGTCTTCCACCCCCTCCAACTTGAGGGGGGGATGTTGGAAAAAATCGATCTGAGCTTCCATTTTCTCAGAAAAGAAATGATGAAGAAGAAGAACGACCAAGGCTGAAGCTCAAAGATAAGGAAATAGCAGACAAAACAAAGTTAGGACTTGGTCTTAATTTTGGTTCAGATAAGCCACATGGGAAACAACGTGGCTTCATCTCAGCTGTTGAATATTACAATGATAGATCTAATCTGGACCCTTCAAAGCACTCTCATATTCTAGATGATTCTCGCGTGCATACAAGCTGTCACATGCAGAAGGAATAATTAGGTAGTTATATTGTTAGACTTAAACTAGTAAAAATAGGACAAATGTACAAAATCAATAAACTATTCTTTTATTCCGTATTTTCTTTTCTAGTGATACATTTGTATAAATACATAGTCCTTCGTATAGCATATTCACTCAGAAATACAGAAAATTTCTAAAACTCTCCTCTCAATTTTCTACATCATTAGGATGAATGTGAACCCAATTATTGTACCGACGTTCTAGAATCTGGTATGTCATTGATTTTCTTGCAAAGTGGAAAAATATTTCCTATTTTAGAACTATCATGTTTAATGGAGAATCTTGATTTATCCCAAAAAAAGAAAAAGAACAAATGACGAACGCTAAAAGAAGCTTCCACTATAGATAATTAATGGAGTATTAGGTTATCTAGAATGGGCTTCGTGTTAAAACAAAAGAAAAGAAAAAAAGGAGAATAAAAAATAAAAATTGGAGGAGAAGAACTTTAGTCAAGATATCAGTAATATATATTCTCCGTTTCATATGATATAGTGTGATTGGGTAGCTTAAGAATAATCTTAAATATATTGTAATATTTTAAGTTAATTAAATAGTTTGTCATTAAGAATAAAATAAAAAAAATTAAATTATTTTTCGAATTTAAAAATGTAATAATCATTCTACAATGAATACTAATTAAAAAAAATAGTCATGAGCGCATGCATAGGTTGAAGTTGAGTAGGAATCAAGGGTAAGAAATTTATTACTCCTTCTGTCCCATTTTTCATGCGACATATTTTTTTGTCTATCTCCGTAAGAATGATACCAATTTATATTCAGAAAAAATTTAACGTCAAATTTTTAATTTTTCTTCTATCACATGATTTCAAATGACATATTTTAAATTTTTTACTTTCTTTCTTAATTCAGTCAAACAACATCACATAAAATTACGATACACCTGATAAAAACAAAAACAGAAGAGCCAAAAGTGAAAAAACTAGTAATCTAGGTACCAAATATACCCTCAGAAAGTTCTTTCCAGAATAACTCATAATCGACATTATTGTTATCAATCTCTTGAGACAAAGGTTCTTTGACACTTGAACTTGCAGGGGTTTTTCCAGTGAGTTGTTGAACAATGGTACGAAACTCGGTTGCATTTTTGGCATTTACCATCACTGGACTGTCTATGTACTTCACCTTTATCGGTTCTCTTCCTTTACTACTGCAGCTTATGGGTGGGTCGAAAACGGATAAAGCAGTAGCACTGCTTATTCTGCCAGTGTATTGCTTTTGCTCTTTTTTGGAATCCATGAATATACAATCACACGTATATATCTTGGTTTTGCTTTTGATATCTGCAGTTTATGGCGTCAGTGAATCTTGAAACCTTAGTATTTATACATGGAAGGGAGTTTGGAGGCAAGACAACTTATAGAAATTTCCAAGAAATAAACAAGGAGAAAAGAGAAGACAAGCTTCCAGATGAAATGACATGTTTGAATGAATGAAGTTGATAGTCTAGGAATGATTATGACATGACCAAGCAGAGGGGAAAAATCGATCTGGTCTTAATCAGAGGCGAATTTTAATTTTATTGGTTCTGAAATTTAAAGTCGTATGTTACTTCAACAGCTAATAATTGATTTTCTAAATCTATACTATATTAAAAGCAC